AGTTTAACAAAGACTAATACAAAAAACCCCAACAAAAACAGAAACAGGCTGCAGGCTTAGTTAGTTTTTGTGGAAGCTAAAAGTATTTTTAAAAATCTCACTCTTCATTTGAAACATTTTGGAGTGAACGAACAAAAGATTTCCTTTTTTTCCCCCTCTTTTCCTCAATTTTGTGGTAGAGGTAAAGGGCACTTGCCCACCTTTATCTATTTCTGGAATAACAGAGCCCTGGCATATACAACTTTTCACCTTCACGTTCACTTTGGGAACAAAATCATTGAACCATCAATTTTTTTCATAGCCAGGAAAATGTCAAAGATCAAGTAAATTACTTGAAAAATTTGTAAACAAAAAGCAGCAATGAAGTTTATCAGGCAGATACATATTATTTGAGTTTGCATAGTTATTCTAAACTACAGTCAGTATTTGATATGACCAGACGTTTCCTTCCCAATGCAGCTTGTACCATCTCAGATAAGCTTTCTTCTAATTTCTACACCCGCTCTTCTCTGGATGCTGGCTGTCGTTGTCATTCAAGATGATCCGTTACTGCCTAACAGTGTTGAGGTCTGAGCTCTGGAGGATGCATCCCTCCATAAGGCCTGTTGATACTAACCAGTCCAGTTCTGCATAGGCCTACCTCAGACATTTTTTTCTCTCCATTTCTCCTGATTAAGAATGAGACCAACACAATAGAAGCATCAACTGAGGGGCGAGCTGTATCTCTCAGCTCATGTTTTAGGTGTTTGCAGGACTTCTTTCCGATTTATGAAAAATCTTAACCCTAACACTGCACACCATACTGAAAACTGCCAACTTTAAGTTTATGTTTATGGATTTTGCAGATGCTTTTATCCAAAGTAAACACAATTTTACAGTTATAATCAATATGACAATAAGTTCTCTAGAGGGAAATCCCTAGTTAGATTCAAAGAGATGACTAGGTGAGCTTTAAAAGGAACTTTAAAAAGAGCTCTCCTTGAATCAACTTGTTGCATTTTTAAGACATATTATCACTTGGAATGGATCAAATGCCTTTTATCCCATTTCGGTACCTGTCTCTTAGCTCTCTGGGAGTCCATGTTGCGGACTTCCTCCTGGTCAGCCTCGCACAGGGGGCAGTCCCCGCTCCATTCCCCGGCGGCCTCCTCCTCCGGACCCCCGCCGGCCGGCTCCAGCCCCCGGCGGTGCTGGGCGCACAGCCTCTCGGCCAGGCTCTCCACGGCGGGCACCAGCTTGTGCCGCCTCAGAGTGCCCACGTCCCGGTGCGGCAGGACGTGGAGCTCGCAGAAGGACGCCAGGCACACCAGGCAGGACTTGTCCGCCCTCAGCCTGCCCTCGGCGGGGCAGAAGTCGCACGGCACCTCGCCGACTCCCCCCGAGTAGACCTCCGGCGCCCGGAGCGCGTCGCTCGGCTTGAGTTTGCCGACGACCTCGGCGAGCACCGTGTTCCTCCGCAGCACCGGCCGCGGGCTGAACGTCTCCCGGCACTGGGGGCAGCTGAACCCGCCCGACTCCGCCCGGTCCCAGTAGTCGTTGACGCACGCCATGCAGTAGGTGTGTCCGCACGGGATGGACACCGGGTCCCGCAGGGTGTCCAGGCAGATCGGACACCTGAACTGGCTCTCGGTCACGGAGATGTTCGCCTGTGCCATCTCGGTTGGGGTCCCCCCCCCTGCTGTCCGATGGCTTCCGTGTTTCGCGTTGAGTCCCTTCCTCCTGATAAGAATAGCTATCCCCTTCCCCCCCCCCCCCCCAGAAGCTTGTTATGAAGGGAGGGAGAGACAAAAATAAATCGTTCTTCCGCACTGTCACACATCTCATTATGGTGGGCTGTTTCACCCTCCGTTTGGACTTGCAGGCATGCCTCGACTTTAAAGGATCAGATCTAAAAAACAAAAATCAAAATATATATTATAATTGTTTTCGTATCTGTAAGAAAATAGCGACTCAAGTGACACAAATGAAAATAAAAAACCCATTAATTAACGCTATATATCAACGATATACAGACAAATCAGTACAAAAAGGAAAAGTGCTCCATGTCCACCATGCTTTAATGTGAAGCATTGTGGACAGTGAAAACAGATACACTTGCAAATGACAAGTTTTGGATTTTGTGTTCACTTTCACTTGTTTGAAGCGACAACTAATTCCCCATTTTCAGAGAGAGAGAGACAAGACATGCACATTTTCGATTGTTCCATGGCTGAACAAAACAAACAATTTTAACAGACTGTTCTGTGTTAGAATGGATAAGAAGGTGTGTCCCTTCCTATCAAAACTCTGACAGTAAAATCATCATGGTACAAAAAAGTTAAGGACACTAAAAGGGGCGTTCTGTATGGGCCAGTTTCTTTTCAAGGTGTACAGGGAAAGCTACAGAAAGTTTACACTGCCCTCTTCTGACCAGCAGCCATAAAACAGACACCGTTGAGCTGCCATCACTGCATTAAACGCTGCAATGGTGGAGTTGATCACAGTATTTGTGACATACATTTGAACCTCCAACCACAGCCTAAGTACTGTATTAAAATGTCACACAAAGTAATGATCATATCATACATATAGACCTGAGCTGTTACAGATGGAATTTGGAAGCATGAATGCAAATATGTGAATCTTGTTTTTCATACCATATAATTCCATTTAATGACATAAGTGACTCTTATGTTGTGGTTCTTCACCAAGCAGTTTTTAGAGCATCCCCAGCCCCAATACCAAAGTGTCCCTCAGTAAAATATATTGACCCAATAATAAGAATGGACATTTTTCTCTTTCTTATAATCTTTGCAGAATATCTTAGATAAAGAAAAGAGGATTTTTGTTCACTTCAACACACACACACATTCAGGTGTACCTGCTCTCTAATAAGTCTCATTGTCCGTGTATCTAGTTTGAATGTCTGACCAACATCAGAAGTAGCTCTTCCTACTGTAACAAACTGTAACTTGATCATTTGAACAAAATGAACAGTATTACACACAAACATCACTTTACTCAGATCTGATATTTCAGCAGCTGGTAATCCATAAATGTACTGTTGAAATCATGCTTAAAGACTTATTTCCATTAAGTCTTCACACTGTTTCTCAAATTTTTGCAGCCCCGGATCTTATAAGTTTATCCCTTGTGTATCTCCAATCCCAGTTCTTGAGTGAAGTCCAACTCTCAGTCTGACTTGGAGCTTAAATCAGGCAGATAGACAAAGCTTTGAAAGGAGGTCTGGTCCCTTGGCTCCGCTGGTCCTTTGTTTAAAGTGGGGCTGTGATGTGTTTGCTGTTTGAGAAAAAGGACTTTTCAGCTAGGCCGTAAGGCGATCCTGGGTCTTTCCTGCCCAGGGTGTGCCCCGAGCTTCTCTGGTTTACCTGCGGGACTAGGGGAGGTGGGGTTGGGAGGGCTCGTCCATGCGAGGTTTCTGAGTAGTGGAGGGAAGGAGAGCAGCTGGTCAGTGGAAGAGGAAGGGAGGGGGGTCACTGTAAGATGAGAATGCTGAGAAAGGACAAATAAACAAAGGTTGTGACGAGGGTCTGAGGTGAATTAATTGTACCAAGCTCTTTCTCTTTTTTGGCCGCAGTCTCAAGGGACCACAGCGCGGGGAGTTGAAGATAGTGGACCTCTGTCAGCGTTTTACTTCTACAGCTCAGAGAAACCTACACAGTTGAAACATTTCATTACTGAACTTACACAACACCTTTATTTTTGCTTCTTTTACTGTAATAATTTATGGATTCTGGATTAAGCCCTTTTATAAGAATTTACAGATTTGTGCCACTATCGTACTAACTATGGAGACTCAGATTGAAAAGCCTTATTACCTGAGTTGCCATTCAATTTTTTCAGACATTTGCATCCACATTAGAAACATTGCATCCTCAAGAAATAGGAAATACACATTCAGGAAAAAACCTGCACAGAATCAGAGAGATGCATCTGTCTCCAGTTTGTTTGCTGATGTCTGATCAGGAATGGTTTGATGGAAAGGAAACATTCCTCAGGAAGGGAAACAACGAGAAATGGCTGGGATATGCCAAATGACACAATAGCTGGATAGAAAATCAGTAGCAACATGTCTTATTGAGTGATGAATCCTCCTCAGAGCCAGGAGCTCAACTTACACGATTTTAAGTTGGGGCCCGACAATTTCCTTTTGGATTTCTACTCAAGGAAACTTGCAGAAGTCAGAACTTGTAAAATCAAAAAGGATGTTGTGAACCATTATCCTATTACCTTCCAAACCTATAAGTAATTACTTATTTTTCACTTCCACTAAATCAAATGACTGCAAGAGGCTTTTCTTGCAATAATGACAATAATTCATGATGAATTTCTTGGTCACCCAATAAACATACGTTGTATTTTTGTTTTGCAAAGATTTTAGATTTTTTTTCAAAATTAAAAAAACATGTAGATGGTTATGTAATAGATACTGTGAGGGACCAGACTTAACAAGGACAAAGGTGTTCCAAAAATGATAAAAATTGTAATTCATTAATATCAAAAATGGTAAACAAAAGGTTGAACTTTAATACAATATAACTCAAATAATAAATGATTCAACTGAGGTCAACTGAACACGAACCAAACTGAACTCCAGACACAGAACCAAGGCTGCTTAAATCCCACTTCCCACATGAGGGAACTTAATACAAATAATATATCAAAATAATATAAAATTATATATTAAAATGACAAAATAACAGGACTCAATTTAACCTAAAAAATAACCTTCCCCCTCCTTAAGTCTTTGGAACAATGGTGTGTTCCAAGGCTTCCACGTCCATCTGGATTGTAACTGGGGCCCTTGATGGTGATGGTAGTAGGAGAATCCACCACAGAAGCTCTTGAGTTTTGAGGAGAAAGGATGTGATGTCATCCGGTGTTTCTGTCTGAGCTAAGAGACTCATTATCAATGTTGAGATAAGCACATCTTTGAAACCAACTTCATCACCTAAATGAGCCGCAGTTAAAAGTGTGAGTCCATGTTCATATATCATTTATTGTCCTTACTTCAATATTATCCAAGTCATGCTGTTTTAAAACAGTGATTTGACCGGAAGTGCTTAGATCAACTTCACAATTGGGCTGTTATTTTGAAAGTGCTTACCGGAAACGTCTGAGCTTATTCTGTCTTACATCTGACAGGCAGCACATCGAGAGCCGTCAGATATATTTTAGTTGTTTTTTTAATTTTGAAATGACAGGAAATCGTTATCAGCTGGTCTATCCGCAACCAGAAAAAATCTAGAAATGATTTCGTCCATGATCTGAAACTCTTACAACAAAGATACTATAATGAGAATTGTGAGTTATTAATAAGGGAACTACGGAACGAGGAAGAACTGATGAAGGGACCACTATGAAATTAGACTGCATACATCAAACTCTTCTGGATGATTTCAAATGAGGAAACCCGTGACTTCACATTAATGACTTTGAGGATTTAATTTACGCGTCGCTCTAACATGCGCAAAAGATGGATTCGTCGGAGATTGCTTGTCTTGATTTTCACCTTCTTCATAATTGTCTTCGTCAATTTTCAGCTACGCACGAACAACTTTCCCAAACTAAATGTTGGCCACCATCCATCAACAGTTGCTCTCCACAGCTCTATCCAGCAGGTCCCCTCCTCCGCAAAGGACGCGCAGAGTTCGGTTAACAATCATCCCCAAGGCGGTGAATCAGAACTTAATGACCGGAGAAGACAGTCGGTCTCTGAGGGTGCACATGTCACTCAGCCGAGGCTGAGGCTGGAGGATATCTACATTGCAGTGAAAACCACCGGGAGGTTCCACAAGACGCGACTTGCGCTTCTTTTGGAGACCTGGATCTCCAGGACCAAGGCGCACGTAAGTGTTGTAAGATACAATCTTACTGGAAAGAGACTCACTTACTGGTATAAAGTTGCATGCTGTTCTAACTCAGCTGCTTTTTCCCTTCATGTACAGTTAACTAAAACATAGTCAGACAGGATAAGGTATATACTGTTTTAACCAGCTACTTTATAAGAGTGCCCATGAACTAATTAGAACTTAATGTTTAATGCCTTTATGTCATGGAAAGATCAACCACCTAAGCCTTTAAATTGGTGCAATAGGTAAATATCATTTAAAGCTGTTCCTCAATTAACTGCTGGAAGGAATGCATAACACATGACAATTCAAAGAGAAAGACATAAATAAAGACGGAAAGATACGGTTTAGATCTTTCAGCCAAATGTCTAGGACATTCATAGATTTTTCAAAGTAGCAAATGCAACTGTCCAGACTTTTCAATGGTTAAGTTTGGTTTGTTGGAAGTAGTGAGGATGAGGTCATGTATTACAGTGAGCTTTTGAGGCTCAGTGAGAAAATCGCAAATGTGTTGGAGAGCTATGTCTTTTGGGGATCTGGGATTCAGTTTTAAAGGTTTGGCCACAGCTCATCCAAACATTTTAAGAGCTGTAGTATTGAGTACAACATTTTTGACAGCTGTGGCAAAATCTGATTAGTAACAAAGTCCAAAATAGCATTACCCCGCGTCTCAGGTTGTTTTCTCACACACACTCTGATATTCTCCTTGGCCTCTCAGTGAGGCTTTCCAGCTATAGCTATGCATGTCAAAATATTAGACCAGGAACATCTGTTTGTCTCATGTCGCTACATCTCTAATGTGTTGGATTCGTCCAGTCTGGCTAAAAATCAACTAAGTTAATGCCTGGAAACAGCATAAA